ACCGCCTCGGCAATGCGGAAGGCCACGGCCCTCGCCAGCGCGTCGGGGCGCTTGCCCAAGGGGTGCCCCAAGTAGGCGGCGTCCTGCTCCGTAGCTTTCTCCTTCGCTTTGCGGCCCTCGTCCTCGCACGTCACCAGCGCCTGCTCCAGCGCGTTCTCCAACGCACTCTGTGGCTTGAGCACCATCGCGAAGTTGTCGTCGCGGTGGCTGGCCCGAGCTAGATCCTCGTGCTGAAGTGCCAACCTGGCGAGCGCCTTGGCCAGCGGCCCGACCGCGTCGCCGCCCTCGCCCTTGCCCTCGACCTCCACGGCCGCCGCCCGCTTCTGGCTCGGGTTCGCCACCTGGACCTCCGCTATCGGCTGGAACATGAGCGCCGTTGGGAGCAGCTGGGTCGTCGCGAGGAGGGGCTGGTGGGTCGGGCGTCGGTCGCTCAGCGTGAGCCTGAACGCCATCGGCAAGGGCGCGACAAAGATCGAGTTTGATGTGTCGAATCAACGTGTCCTTTATGGTGAAGTGTTTCGCGCAGAGGGGGCATCTCTTCTGCTGGAGATCTCCAGATCTCCATCTGAGAGGAAGGTCGCCGTGGGATTCGCATAGATGTTATGAGCTGCATGCTTGTGATTGGCAAGGCCCTTCTCCCCTCTGCAATTTTTGTCCGCGCGCATCGCAGTCGAGCCACGCAACAGCGGGCAGTTCGCCAACAGCAGCGTCGCCAAAAGTGAGGGCACGGCGGTGGAAGCGCGGCTCTAAGGAGGCGGGCCAGCGCAGCCAGGGCTCGGCAAGGTCGGGTTGATCCTCGCGGGGCCGAAACAAACGGCGGGCCCCCATCTGCTCGCGCGCTTCCACTGACGTCCAGAGCTGGCGCATATCCTCTTTCAGAAAGGCAAGTAGACCATGGGGCTCTCGAGAGGCTGCGGGTTCAAAGGAGAAGCGGCCAAAGATAACTGGACGGACTGCTACCGAGGGGTCGTAGATGTCGACCGTGGGCCCCTGGGAAGCTGGCCACAATACCTGCCTCCACCACTTGAGCCGTCGTCGCAGCAAAGTGCTTCCAACCGTCGGGGCGCGCGCCTTCCTCGTGATCTCTCGATTGGTGAGCTTGTGGATGTGAGCAGGCGAGTGCAGCAACCCACGTAGTTTGCGAAGCTGCCAGGACTCCAGTCCAAGAAGCTCTCGTTTGGACATCACCGCCACCTCAAGGCAATACAGGCCAACTGACCGTACCAAAGACTTCCACAATATTATCTTCATCTTGGGGCTCAATCCTCCTTTGAAGGCGCGTCGGAGTAGTCGTGAGTGGGCCTGGTTGGCCGCCAGCAGTCGGTGGGTGATCTCCGTTTGGTAGCTGCCGGTGGCGGCCAGTCGAACGGCCAGGTACTTGACCGTCAGCTGCGGGTGGATGGGAAGTGCGTCACCATCTTGCCATGTCACGCTGCCCGCGGTGTGGGAGGTGATCAGCTTCTGGCGTCGTTTGCTGCCCGTGCCGCTGGGGATGAGGAGGAGCTCCGTCTTGCGCGCATTGTCCTTCATACCACCATGGGAATCTCACCATTCACCAGATCCAGCAGCAGGGGCGCCTCGTCAAAGTTCTCAACTTCACCAAACGTGAGGAGGTCATCAAGAAACTTGAGGTGGGTCACGTCTAAGGTCTCGCAGGTGTCGGCTTGCAGTTCGTCGATGTTCCTGATCCGCTTGAGACTGGGGTCGTAGTAGATCTGGATGCCTGGGCACTCCATCTCAGGTTGTCGTTCGGCCAGAGTGGCCACCAATTTGTCATGAGCTGCAACAAAGAGGCCAGGACTCTCAACTCCGCCCTGTCGGACTCATCGTTGAACTTGAATTCTGGGAGCGGGCGTGCGCGTCCTCGCGTCACGGTATAGAAAGCACAAGCCTTCGTCGAGCTCCTCAATCGTTTATCTAGCAGCAGGGCGGAGCTGTAAGTCACCTAAGCGGTCCCAAAAATCCTGGCGGTCGATCATGTCGAAGGCCTTCTCGAGGTCCGCGAGGATAACTAGCAGCATGGGCGGCGCTGCGGCAGCGCGGCCGCGCACGCGAACACGGCGGGCCTGTTGATGTCGAGTGATCACCCCTGTCGCCACCGCAGCGGCATCGCGCGTGCTGCGACCAGGCATGGCACCAAACTGGGTGGCGGAGTTCCTGTGAGTAATGTCTCGCAGGGCATCCAAAGTGGTGACTCGGGCGTGCACCTTGCCCACGTGGCTGATCAGGCTGATGGCGCGGTAGCCATCGGCGGCGGACTTGCCGTGGCCCTTCGGCTTGCGTAGGTGAGCCGTCTCGCCGTCCTTGAACCGTTGTGTGGCCGCTCCTAACGCCCGGCTGCTATTGAAGACCTGCAGGAGTGGAGGTGCAATCTCGTCGAGGGCCATCTCCCAGGTCTCGGCGATCGCACCAGTCGGAGGAGCCCGCGGGCACCATTGGAGTGTCGGGCCGCCCTTGAAGTTCGGCAAGTCGGTGCTGCTCTGCTCGATGTCGGCTAAATCGCAGGGGCCAATGCGCTCATCGTCGCGGCTCATGTCACGAGCGCGAGTGGGAAGTGCATAAACCGGCATCGCCATGTCATCGCACAAGTCACAGATGCTCTCAACTCGAACATGGCTGTCTCGATTGGAGTCAAAGCACGGGGGGCAAGTCCTCGGGTCGGTCACTGCCACGATGGGCGCTGGTGGCTTGGGAGCAAGCCGTCGCACGATAGCGCAGAGCCTCCTCAAGCTGTTCTCGCCAGCGGAACGCTCAACAATATCCGCAAGTTGAGCCATCCGTTGTCGCTTTTTACTCCTGATCGCTTTCGTGGCACTCTTCGCGGCCTCATGTCACTGCCGCAAGGTGTAGTGGTAGAGCCAGCGCGAGCCCGTCGGCAGCACCGCAAGCTGCCCCTGCCAGTGGCGCTTGCGTTTGGTGGGCCGCACGGTGCTGTCGGAGAAGACAGGGCCCTGGATGGCACCCCCAGTTTGGGGTATGTCAATATAGTCCCGACGAGCGGCGTCGATGGCCACGCCCTCCATTGAAGTGGTCGGACTGCGTCTCGTACAGCTTGCTCCTGCCGCAGATGGCAATACAGTCCTCGTGCAGCTGCTTCTCGGTGATGCCCTCCCGAATCTTGCCGCGGTAGTCCAACGCGCGTTGAGGGATGGGGATTCGGATGTCGAAGTCCTCGGCTGCTAGCTGCGCCAGGCGGAGGTCGTTGATGAATAGTTCACGTCGCCGCCGCGGTCGCTGGGCTGAGTCGGGCTGCTTCAAACGGCCCCACGCGAAGATCTTCGTGTCCAAAGGTCGGTGGTCGCGGTGGCCACCAAGATTGACGGGCAAGTCATAGCGGGGGCGAGAAGCGCGGCCGTGCCCTCCCAGCCATCGTACGAGGGCGTAGTCAATAGTGGTTCAGTTGCCGCTCGGGCTGCGCCATGTGCCATTGCGTCGTCCTTTGCGTCCAAACGTGTTGAGCGCCATCAAGCCAAAGTCCTCTATGATGTCCATCATCGCGCTGCCGTTACTGTTGATGGTGGGACCATGCCCTCGAACTCCTGCGTGTCCGACCCAAGGAGGATGTGGAGGAATATGTACATTGCCGTCCAATGTCGCCACCAATGATGTCCGAGCTGGCACTGGGCTGATGGCATGGCGGCAGGTGTGCCACAAGGCCTCCTGCCGTGCAAAATGAGCTTCACGGTACAATCCAGCACCAACTCCCTGGTGCGGGCGTCCTGGCTTGTTCGTTGGGGCGTAGCCGTTCAATGTATATGTCGCGCTCATAGCGGTTGTGCTGGAGGCTTCGGAGGCGCACGCCGTGAAGTTTGCCAGGAAGCCAAGTGTGCTCGCATCGAATCTCGCCTGTCTTGAAGTGGTTAAGGTTAATAGCAATCAAACATCCATCACGTTGACCAACTCCTGAGCGGGGGTGCGAGTGAATTTCATAGCCACATGTCTTCCATGCCATTCCCAAGTCCATCTGTGTGCCCTGCATAATGAAAATCGCCACACTCTCGATACGTGCGAGCTCCAGAAGTTCCTCAAGACGACCCACGCGGCGCAAGGATTGGGCGTTGAAGCTCCAGATCCGCACAGCGCGGTCCTTGAAATGGGTGGTTCTGTGTCGCTCAGCTGGCGTACGTACTGTTAATTCAAGTTGTGTGTGTGGCTGGGTCAGCTCGCTGATGGTCTCTTTGGGGAGCAGTTGCGCTGCAGTGGCCCGAGTGTATTGACGTCCTCGATACCAGGCTGCCCCCGTCACCAACGCGAGCCGCACAGCTCGCCCCGTACGCCCTTCTTCCAGCAGTCCTGGTGCAAAACGGCGCCAGTGATGCCGTCCTCGCGGGTCGGGCTGCCCGCGAACGCTCACCTCGCAGCGAGCCCAGGGTCAGGCGCTTCGCCTGCGGTCAGCGGCGACCGCTGCCATGGCGCGGCTGACGGGGGAACGGTAAGCTGGCCAGGACTAGCGACCTGGCACTGCCGTCCGCTGCGACGGTGGACGTCTTGAGCCGTCGAGGCTTCCGTCCTACTTCCGCCAGTTTCCGCCGGCCTTCCGACGGCCTCTGCCGAGGGCGAGATGCGCCGAAGGCGAGGCCCAATCGGAGCCGCCCCCATGAAGGAAGCGGGCTTCACTAGAACCAGTTCTTCATCCCGGGTCGCCTCTTGCAAGTCCCAGGGCCCGGGGAGGACCCCGGGAACCCGTTGCCTGGGGACCTGCGTGTCTCATGGCGAAAACTTGTCTCGTCTGGTGGAGCGGTTTCGATCCCACGGTGAGGCGTTCGTCTCGGGGACCTTCTGACCCGGGTCAATCCAAAACCGTGTCAGTCAGGAATTACAGGATCCTGTAAGATCATGCACCCAAGCCCGGGTCACTGCGCCCCTGGCCCTGCAGGACCCTGCAGGATCCTGCAAGATCCGGCGCTCTGCTGACCCCCGCTTACATTGACCCCCGTCTCTTGAGCCCCGACCGTCGATGCCCCCCCCCCCCCCCCCCGGCCCGACGCCGAGGGCGCGGCAGCAGCGGCTCTCCAGGAGGAACTTGACCACTTCCACTGGAGAGATGAGTTATGGTGTTGCCTCGCGTGGCCCTGGGAAGCGCAGAGGGCTCCCAGAGCACCTCTCACGAGGCCCAGGGGGGCACAGAGTCCCCGACACAGCGCGAACAGCTGGGAACACCTTGGGCCAAAGCCACTTCTAGCAGCAACCGATTGTTCTCTCAGGGCGAGAGGGACATAGTTACTGAGGCAGAGGCAAAGGCGAGGAACAGTTCGGACGCGGCTCGATGGGAAATCTCCCAGAGCTGACAGGATGGGGAACAACTCGGATGGGGATGTGACTAGGGGATACTTCAGACTGGGTCACCAAGCTTCAAGCATGGCACCCGTCGGCGTGCGATCATCGTCGCTCCCTCGCGCACCCCCACCCCGCTGGACACGGGCAGTTCTCCAATCGAGAACGCGTCGCGCGAAGCGCGACTATCTTCGAGCCCCTGCCGGCGACAAAAATATTGAGGCGAAGGCAGAACGAGGACCAATTCGGACGAGGATAGACCAGAAATCTCTGAGAGTTGGCGGCTCTGGAGGCTGAATCGGGCGCCGCGGCCGTGTCGAAGCGCTGCGGAACTTTCTGAGAGCGTTTTGGAATGCTCTGGAACGATGAATTCTCATCCAGCTCCTGGCTGACACCCCGATGCCATTCCCTCGCTTTCGCCCCTTCGGGCCTCCTGGGCTCCCAGGGTGCCCTCGTTACCACGGCTGCACCCGCCTCGCGGACCCCTGGTCAGAACGTACCCCCGGAAGAAGGTCTGGCCATGTCGGTGCAAGTATCCTGCTGTCCACCCAGTTTCTCCATGCCCAGCCTCATTTCCAAACAGTACTGGGTTTCTGGGGCGCTGCGCCACCAACTGGAGATGCACGCTCCTGCTGCGGCAGCCCGTGGGAGGCGGTGCAGAGGGCTCCGCGGGGCCTCCCAGGAGCCCATGGGAATGGCGACGGTTTCCGCAGATGGCAGCCCTCCAGGCAGCGCGACGGGGGCGGGAAGAGCGGAGGAGCAGGGAGAAGGGCGGAGGCGCGAGGAGGAGGAGGACAAGGCGGACGCCCGAGCCCTGCCCCAGTCAACGCGGAGCGAGGGTTGGGAAAAGCTCAATCCCCCCAGAAGCCACTGGAGGAGCCCAGAGGTCCCTGGAAGCCTCTGGAGGCCCCCAAAGGCCCACAGAGACCCACACAATCTTCCGTTCTCAGTAGCAACAACAACAATCGTGTGTCTCTGTACATAAATACCCCAAACCCACGAAATTTGACACCTTCGTCTTCGATCGTGCCCACTTTGGGCCTCCGGGGATATATGTTCCTTGCCTGCCACGTGTAGTGTGCGCGGCCCCTGACATGAGAGGGACAAAAGAAAGAGACAGGACAAGAGACAGAGAGAGAGAGAGGGAGAGAGAGAAACCGAGGAAAGGAGAAGAAAAAGGGAAGGCTGGGGGGCACGAGGGAGGGGGAATGATTGAGCAGGAGGGGGTGAGAGAGGACAGATCATTTTGGCAAGTGGGCCCTGACGGGCGGGTCGGGTGGGCGGGTCCAAACGGGCGGGTCGGGCGGGCGAACCCCAACAAGCGGGTCGGGATGGCGGGGCATTACAGCGGGTGGGCTGGCTTCCAACCGCGCGAGCGGACGGACCCTGTCGGGCAGGTCGGGCGGGCGGGCCCTATCGGGCGGGTCGGGCGGCGCGGGCCCTGGCGACCAGATCGGGCGAGACATTGAAGCGGGCGAACGGGCGGAACCTAACAAGCGAGTCGGGCTGGCGGGCTCTGACGGGCGGGTCGGGCGGGAGAGGCATGGAAGCAAACTTCTGCGAAGTGCCAAGAACCTGACGGCGAGAGCACGGGTCCTGAGTACATTGCAAGGAGGTCTCGCGCGAGAGCGCGATTCCTACACGTCGAGGACGCGGCGTTTCAAGAAATTGCAACGGGACTGTGAGCAGAAGCGCAATCCCACCAGCCCTCTGGGCGTAGGTGGTCTAGGGAGGCTCCTCTTCCAACCCCCTTCTTCCCCCTCGCGGATGGGTTTGCCCCTCCCGCCTTCCCCCTTAACCCTGGACCTGGACGGGGGTGGCCGCGGGCAGTTGGAACGCCCAAGATGGCCCAAGACGGCCCCAAGAGCGCCTCGGAAAACCGAAGATGACTTCCAAGATGCCTCAAGATGGCTTGGACGATGCCCCAAGAAGCCTCAAGAGCGCTCACATACAAGTCTCGGCTGCTACAGAAAAATGAGGCGCGCCGCCGCGAGGGCGACGGCGCCAGCTCGACTGGACAGGCGGCGGCCGAGTGCGGCCGACGCACGAATAGGAAGATGAACTAGTTAATTCGCACACTGCCTAGAGCAATACACAAACCCGCGCGACCTGACTCAGGCGGCCTGGCAACGTCAACTGAACCATCCCCGATGCAAGGACCGCGGCCGGCTCGCTTCGCAAGGCGGAGGCGCGGGGAGGAGGAAGGCAAAAGAAGAAACGCCCAAGAACGCTCCAAGACGGTTCCCTGACGCCTCCGAAACCTCCAAGGAATCCCCCAAGAGGCCACAATCCTTCATAATCCAGAGGAAAATCATTGAGTCTTGCTTTCTCGCCTTTGCGCTTCTGATGGCCATCTAGGGCCTCAAAATGGCTCCAACATGGGCCACGAGAGCCCCAGGAGAGGCCCAAGAGAGCCCCAAGGCGGCCCCAAGAGCGCCCAAGAGCGCCCCAAGAACGCTCCAAGAGGGGTCCACGAGGCGATGTTCGGTGCTCCCGATGGGGGAGGCTCATTTGAGTGACCCTCTTTGTTGATCGATGTCCTCCAAGATGGACCCCAAGAGCGCCCATGAAGCTCCCAAGAGCGCCCCAATAAGGGCCCCAAGAGGCGCCCAGACGGCCACAAAAAAACACCAAGAGGTTCTCAAGAGACCCCGTAGGAGGCCTCAAAAAGATCCTCCTTCTCCTCCTTCTCGTCCTTCTCGTCCTCGCCCTACTCCACCTCCTCCTTTTCCTTTCCCTCCTCCTGTTCCTCCTCTTCCTCAACCTTTTCCTCCTCCACCTCCTCCGACTCCTCCTCCTCCTCCTCCATCCTCCCCCTCTTGAGTATATGACGGCTTCCCCCGCCCTTTGTTATTCTGAAATGTTCCCCCACTCCCCTGATCACCTCAACTCCCCTGGGCATCGTTTCTGGATGGGCTGATGGGGATACTTGTTGGTACGCGGGCTCGCGAAGCAGGTCGAACGCCGGGCAAAACTAGGGCGGGCCGCGCCGAAGCAACAGGGAAAAAACAAAACGGATAAAAACCACGGGCTCAGCGTACAACAGGACGCCAGATATGGCAGAGCGGCAGGATGACCACGACGAGGAAGGAGCCCGAGTGCGCCACAACTGATGAGGATACTTTTTTCTGTTCGCGAGCACAAGTGGAAGGGCCACGCACCGTCCGAAGCTACAGCTAACAAGCAGAAGCCCAAACTGATGGGGGTACTGTTTGGTCAACAGGCTCGCGAGGCGGGTCGAAAGCCGTCCGAACACTAGTCTGGCCGCGACTAGGCAGCAGGAGAAGAAAGGCAAGCGAAGCGAGCGAGCGGGCAGCCACTCAGAAGGAGAGCCAGAACCGAAACTCCAAAAACCCGGTGGCGTGGGAAATCCCTGTGGCATCCAGCAAGTAAGCGCGACCAAGATGGCGCGACGGATGGGGATGTTACCTAACAGCGTTTGCTGATAGGTTTCTAGTAGGGTCAAAAGAGAGCATCATGACTCCTCAGGGGGGTCTGGGCGGGTGCCGGGGAGGAGAACCGGGAACAGAACCGGGCTCGTTTTAAGCCAACAGTCACACACTTCGTGCTCTTCGACCTCCCAGAACTCCATTCCCGGGCCACATTTTGGATGCCCGGAGCCAACTGTAGGCCACTTCGTGCTCTTCGACTTCCCAGAACTCCATTCCCGGGCCACATTTTGGATGCCCGGAGCCAACTGTAGGCCACTTCGTGGTCTTCGAGTTCCCAGAACTCCATTCCTGGGCATGATTTTGAATGCCCGGAGCCAACTGTAGGCCACTTCGTGTTCTTCGAGTTCCCAGAACTCCATTCCCGGGCCACATTTTGAATACTGAGGCAGGCTGATGCTGAGGCTGAGGCAGGCTGAGGATGAGGCAGGCTGAGGCTGAGGCCGAGGCTGAAGGCAGACTGAGGCTGAGGCTGAAGCAGGCTGAGGCTGAGGCTGAGGCAGGCTGAGGCTGAGGCTGAGGCAGGCTGATGCTGAGGCAGGCTGAGGCTGAGGCTGATGCAGGCTGAGGCTGAGGCAGGCTGAGGCTGAGGCCGAGGCTGAAGGCAGACTGAGGCTGAGGCTGAAGCAGGCTGAGGCTGAGGCTGAGGCAGGCTGAGGCTGAGGCTGAGGCAGGCTGATGCTGAGGCAGGCTGAGGCTGAGGCTGAGGCTGATGCAGGCTGAGGCTGAGGCAGGCTGAGGCTGAGGCCGAGGCTGAAGGCAGACTGAGGCTGAGGCTGAAGCAGGCTGAGGCTGAGGCTGAGGCAGGCTGAGGCTGAGGCAGGCTGAGGCTGAGGCTGAGGCAGGCTGAGGCTGAGGCTGCGACTGTGACTGCCGTTGCCACTTCGACTGTCATCGCGAATGCGACTACGACTGCGAGAACAGCAGAATTCTACAACTGGATTCTCATCTGAATCTTAAGGGGAATGCTTCCAGATATGCTCCTACACAGCGCTGTTAGGTTGCGTTGCCGGGATATTTTTTTTGGTCGCGGGCGGACGCGGATTCGCAGTCGCCGAGCTGACATAATGATGGGGGCATTTTTTCCCAACCATCCTGTGGTGTTGGGTCCTCGTTTTGAAGAGACGGTCCCCGCATTCCTTCCTCCTTCCTCCTTCCTCCTCCTTCCTCCTCCTCCCCTTCCTCCCCCCTCCTCCCCCTCCCACACCCATTCTGGCACACCCCTCACACGTTTCGTGGCCCCATAGGGAGCTCCACCGAAGGCCCCAGTGGCTGCGCCCGCATGCGGTTCCACCCCCCATTCTGGCACACCC